GTTTAGGGTTAATGATGCTGCTAATATTTATATTAAACAGCCAGAACCCTTTTTCTATTTACTTAGAAAATGTTAATTTGCTGGAATGCGTACAAGAAAATATCACACAAATCATTATAATAATATATTATATAATAAATTAAAGCAGATGTCAATGTTAAATTCAGAAAAATTGCTAATTTTTTTTTTACAAGAGTTACCAACTAGGATCGAGGAATTACGGCATCAAATTCAATGGTAAAGCATCTAGAACAAATTAGCTTTCAACCATGTTCTCTTATTCAACCAGGAACAGGTCTCATTTACAGTATTGAGCAGATTGTCCACATTTTCCCAGAGTGATTAAAATGTCACAGCCAAGCGCGTAATGCATCCTGACTTAAAGTTTCACCAAGAATTGTGAGGAAGACTGTAAATTACCCCAAAGAATTTAGTGTTGACTTTGCGAGAGAAGTTGTTAATCAATCAGAGCACTTCACTCAAATGTCAGTTAATCAACTTGTCTGTGTGTGTGTGTGTGTGTGTGTGTGTGTGTGTGTGTGTGTGTGTGTGTGTGTGTGTGTGTGTGTGTGGGTGTGTGTGTGTGTGTGTGTGTGTGTGTTTGTGCATGTTCATGTACAAGTCCAAAAAAGCAAAGATGTTCACATTAAAGTCTATTGTAACATTTCTAATTCTTTTTACCAGCATAAAGATGCTGAAGTTCCAGAAACATGAAGTGATTCTATTGGAAATACAATCATGTATATTTTCTAATTGCAAATAATTATTACCAGGCAAGAAATGAACAGCTTTTAGTAAAAGCACACCAGAACCTGCTGCGGTAAAGACCCACAACTTTATCTTTTCGTTTCAGATGCTGTGTGCAGTGCTGATAGTTTTCTCGGGGGCACAGGAGAAAAAGAAAAATCCCTGAAAAGTAAATTTCTGATGGTTGGTTCAGACACCTGCCTCAGGTATCACATGCTCCCCTTCTGGCCTGATTCCTGCTATCTCAGTAACGAACAGATACATAAATGAGGCTGCCGCTGCCATGTGTTTGAGCGAGGCAAAGAAAAGTATTCAAAAAGAAGAATTTCTGCTCATCACTTGCAGTGTTTTTGTTATATCACTTAAAAGAAGGCACATATGGCCATTAATGGTTAATGTTTAGCCATTAAAATCAATTTTGAGATAACCAGACAAACGAACATGAACATGTGCCCCAACTACAAATACTAGATCAAAAACAAAACAAAAAAAAAAAAGTACATGTTTGAATCCCCCGGTGTTCCTCATTAACATCACTTCAAGACAGGCAACTTGGAACTTATTGGTCCAGGCTGCTCTCACTGACATGAAAGCATCCAGTATAAATAGCACTGATTTCAATGAAAATCAAGACCAGCATGCTTTGATCATTGGACCGCACCTTGTCCTCCTTGGCTGCAGTTACAGATAGTTAAACAATCCTTTGAATGGACAACTGACAACTGCAGGTGAAACATCACACATTCAGAGCTCAGAGCACATGGCTGCTGTGGGTATCAATTTAATGAGTCACTGAGCAAGATTAGAGTCATAGTTGGATGACAGACAGCAAAAGCTTCTGTTAATATTCTGTTTTCGTATAACCTTGTGCGAACAGATACTGAAGATGCAATTAATTCATCACATAATTGGTAGCAACAGGTTTTTTCTCAAAAGTGGACACTAAAGTCTTTCAGGACTTATTGATCCATCAATGACAATTATTTTAAATGACTGCAGAATTTTACCTTGTATTTACTCCGGTCTAAAGTGCATTTAGGGTGTGTCCGTATCAGTTTTGCTATTTTAACGGTGGGTAAAAACATGCACGGTTCAGAAAGGTTGTGCTTGATCTCTGCATTGTGTTTTGGGCATAACATATAATAAACATTTCCCTCACATTTTTCCACATGGTTTTGTCCGTTGCTTGAGATTTGACTGGTCATATCACTGCGTCCTCTCCTCCGTCTGGATAATGACAATTCAACATGGGCCTTTGCATCTACATCTTCTAATTAATGAATCTTTTCATTATCTTGTTTCTGCCCGCATCGTGATTGGTTGTTGACATGCAAATTAGATAGATGGCACTGGTGAACTTGTCAACCAAGTGGTTATTATTATATCCATGATTAACCCATAACACTAATGAAGTAGTCAGTTTAACCCAAACCAAGCTCTTTTGTATAAACCCAACCAAGTCTTTTGTGTCTTAACTTAACTGAACCGAAGACGCTTAACAGTGCTGTTCTATGGCCGTTTTAAGGAAATCTGGATATTGTATTCAAAGATGGAGCACTATTTATTCCTATAAAAGTCGCTCACAAAGCGCATACTTCACAAAAGCCTCAGCAAGCTTTCACATGCTTCAGTGGTTTTAGGCCCATAAAGAATTCTCACCAGAGTCCTTTGCCAGTTAAGCCAGTTGAGAGCATTAGGTTTTGGAATGGGATAAAATAATTCAATCATATGGCTCTTCTAGACTTTCCCAATGTTGCTGGACTGAAAGGATTAGCTTCTGACAGTCATTTCGTTGAGTTTGTGACACTGAGAAAAATGTATTTATGTATTTATTTCTTAGTGTGCGCCACACAAGTTGCAATACCTCCGTACAGCCACTACACCAAAGTCATTTCAACTTCACAAAAAAGTACCCAACCTGTACTCATTGCACCTGGCTGAGATCCAGTGGGTGTCAGACCAGCTCCAGGTGTGATCCATATGTCATTCCAATGTGTTCTGCGTGTATTAACACCTTTCAAAAACGTGTTGCATGTATTATGTTAATGATACATGACGTAAACGAGGTCTTAGCTCTGGACCGATTGTGGTGAGTTGTGTCCGTGTTATATTTACTTTCAGGTCGTAACTGGTCACAAACATATCAAAGCAGCAGAGCGTCTGTTGTTGTTCTTAATGTTATAACATTATTAACCCGTCTTTGCACTTCGATGATAATTGATCCCAAAGAAGACACTCCTACTCTGATACTCCTGTATCAGAGTTTTTACACCTCTATTTCCATCTTTTCTATATCAGTCCCTTCAGTGGTGTATAGCTTCCGTGTAACAGTCATCCGGGGCTGAGACTCACTAAGAGTAAACAAGCATAACAGCTGTAAAAATCAATAACTCAAGGTAAGTTAGCGCATGTTTGAACCTCCTCTGATGGACAGACTCACTTGCAGTTGTGCAGTCCACATCCAAACAAAAACAACCTGTTTGAGGGGAAACATCTCGGCGTGAAATCTCCTCTTAATCTAACATCATTATTTTTTGTGAAAACCTTATTCCCAATATCCTCATGCTTTGGTGGTGATGTGTGTGTGTGTGTGTGTGTGTGTGTGTGTGTGTGTGTGTGTGTGTGTGTGTGTGTGTGTGTGTGTAAACATGCTGTCTACAGAACTGACCTGTTCTGTTTGTAGTTGTGTAGTTGACCCCAGTCAGCTGTAAACATTTGAAGCAGAGCCATTTGTGACCTTTCACTGTCTGTATTCACATTTTGAGCCCAGTTTTGAACCAGCAACATACAGGATCCTCTCCTCACCAACACAATCTTCATCTCTGAGGATGATGAAAATGTATGGACTTGACAAGGCAGATAACGAAGACGGTCTCCTCAGCACACAACCAAAGATCTGTTTTAGATTCTGCACCTCCTGGAAAAAGGCTGCAAGTTTTTTTTTAGTATGTAGCAAAGCTGTTTGCTTGAAAAGGTGGTGTTCTCATAAAAGATTGATAGTTGCCTAGTGGCCCTGAGGCACCCAAGCCAACAACTCAGGATTCATAAACAAAGCTAAATGGATCAATATTTCCAACACTTTAGAAGTAACCTATGGTTACCCCTACCTTGAGAGAGAAAGCTTTGAGAAAGGTTAGGTTTTAATCGAAGGCTTCCCACAATAATAATAAAGAAAGCGTGGTATTTAATCATCAGAGTTCTGCGGTAACATACCCGAGGTCCAGAAACTGATTCACATGCTGTGATACAGAGAAATTCCCGCTCTATATCTTCTGTATTCATAAAGTAAAAAGCAATTTTTTGCACCATTTTTGGAATTATTCACCCCAGACCTGCAGACTGTTGTAGCATCAGCACCGGCGCTCCAGCACTCTGCAGTTGGAACTTTTTCACTTGTCACTTTTCTATTTGAAGGAAACGGGAAACAAAGCATGGCCGATCTAGGAATTGTAGCCAAGTAATTCATTGTCTCAGCAGTCAACAGCAGATGCCTCTTAATCAACTTTTATTGAACCAAAGTGTCAAAGCAGAATGACACATTACACTGGGAAGGAAAACTCACATGACAAATATGACAAATGGAAACATTTGCCTGTAGTTTGCAAAGCCATCATCTTGGCAGCATGATGATGATAATTATGATGCATGTTTGTGTTGTACAAGCTGTCCTGTCACCAATGAATCTCTAACAAATACATTCACGTTGAGCTTATCAGAGCTGGGTCTACTATTATTTCATACTCTGTGTCTGGGTTTGATAAAATTCTGCATAACTACACTATTACTTAAGACTGTTTTTTTTTTTTAACCAATTATTCTTTTTCTACAGAAATGGATCTGAAGAACACTGAAGACAACATACTGTACCTATAGTTTCTTAAAGTTTTTTAAATACAAAAATGTATTTGTTTGCTTCTGTAATACTAAGATTTTCACAGTACTGACACACACAACTGGTGTTTCAGCATTTTTTTTTTTGTCCTCTCTTTATTGTTGTGGTGCTGCTAAGATCCTAAAATGCCATACAAACTAATGTGTAATGTGTAAATGTGCATCTATCACAACCCATGTTGATAGTAGGGTTGATTTTAATACTGGGTACGTCTGCATTCCTTAACTAAAACTTCCCTCTCACTTGTACATTTCTATCATCAATGAAACAGAAAAGGCATGAGGAAAAACTCCAGGACAGGAACATAACAGCTCTTGCTGACTCATCCATCTGTGTTTTATTCTTTTGTTTCTCTCCCAAGGGGACTAATGCCACGAACACTAGACAGCCAGATCACATTAGAGAAGACTCCCAGCTACTTTGTCACCAGAGAGGCACCAAGACGCATCTCCAGCATGTCCCACGAGACCAAGCTGATTGTTGTGGTGCGCAACCCAGTCACAAGAGCCATCTCTGACTACACACAGACTCTTTCCAAGAAGCCCGACATCCCTACGTTTGAAGAGCTGGCCTTTAAGAACAGAAGTTTGGGTCTTGTCGACACTTCCTGGAACGCCATCCGGATCGGGATGTATATTCTGCACCTGGAGAACTGGCTGCAGTACTTCCGCCTGTCGCAGATGCACTTTGTGAGCGGGGAGCGGCTGATCACCGATCCAGCGGGGGAGATGGGCCGCGTTCAGGACTTTTTAGGACTGAAACGAATAATTACGGACAAGCACTTCTACTTTAATCGAACCAAAGGCTTCCCCTGTCTCAAGAAGCCGGAGAGCAGCAGCCAGCCGCGCTGCCTCGGCAAATCCAAGGGTAGGACTCACGTGCAGATCGACCAGGAGGTCATCGAGCAACTGCGGGAGTTTTATAGGCCATTTAATATCAAATTCTATGAAACTGTGGGACAAGACTTTAAGTGGGATTGAGGGTGCCATACAGAAACAGTGCTGCTTTTAAAATGGCTACCTCGAGAGACATGTTAAAACATAAATTAAGATATCTTCAACAAACTGTTCAAATGACAAGTCTATTGAACTATGTATAAATTCACAAGCTTAATATAAAAGAACAGACAACTCAGACATTAAAATATAATCATACATGGTTTCTCGTCATGCTGGGTTATTCTGATGTTAAGTGCCATTTCTTTAAAAGATGAAGCATAGACAGAAACCCATTTTCTTTACTGTATACAGGACATGACATACGAATTCATCAGTAGGCAGCCAGCATTAATTCATTAACCAGAAACCACCAACACTAGTCTGACATTAATGACACTGCTTGAATATTCATTGCCTAACTTGCTTATTTATTCCTCATTTCAGCTCAAAATTAAACCACTGGTTTACATTTAAAATGAGCTCTCAACATGATGCAGCAGCAAAATGTCAAATGAATAAATAAAATCACCCTGCCGGTTATTCTGCACTGAAATCTGTTGACAAAAGCTCATAGGCAACAGTGACAAATTTATTTAATAAATGTACTGTAACTGAAGAAGAAAAAAATAACAGCTATATTGAGAGATGCTGTAACACTGATGAAAATGAACCGTTTGTTAAACTCTACTTCATCTTTTTCTGTGTTAGTGTTTCCGTTGTGATCATCGAAATAAATGTAAAAAAAAGGAATTCAAATTAAAGGATTTATTTGAGATATTTTCTGTTTTTTTTTGTTTTGTTTTTTGCATCTGTACTTATCTAGCATCTAGTGACGGTGTCTTGGAACAGAATACAATCAGATGTGCTCCCTGCTTTGCATCACAAACAGAAATCAAATCAAACCTGATGCCTGATGCTCTGTGACATCCAGGCCACAGGCAGGACTATCACAGACCTCACGTGATTTAGGAATTCATCCGAACATCTGAGCAGGACATTCACGCACATCTCCCCGGCCAAATATATGACAAAAGTAGTAGAAAGAAGTTTGTATCGAGCCTCTTGAAAGATAAAATGTTCCTTATCAAATGCTGCCATGCATGTCATTGATCTCATTAACTTTCAAGATTCCTCTTTTAATGGATTTCACCGTGCTCCTCCTCTGAATGGGTCTCAATACTAAGCAGCTAGATTAACCTCCTGAATTCGCACCCCGAAGCCAATCAGAGTTGTCATTAATAATTTCCTCCGAAACCTCAAGAATTGTCGACACAGAAGGTGAGGGAAACCAAAAAAAAAAAAAAAAAAGATAACACTAATAATAATAGCATTGGATGAAGAACACAGATCACAGATTACCTCCGAAGTCCCCAGGTAATATTTTGTGTCCTGCGTGAATGCAGCTTTAGATTTAACTTCTGTTGTGAGTTGACTGCGCATGACATTCCAACACTGCTGAACCTTGAATTGTTTTTGTGATGTTGTCACTGCTGTGTCATTTTTTTTGTTTGGTTTAAGGCTAATCCATTTGTTTGCAGCAGGAAACACTGAATTTGAGCATTTATTCTGGAGGAGGCAGAACAATAATTAGACACATGCTCCATAAATTCAACCAGACGTGTTGAAGAATTGACAAACTTTTTCATTTGAAGAGAGTCCATTAAAGCTGAAACTAAGTCTAATGGACCCTGTAATCTGTGCTTCACATGATGTTCTTGCTCAAAAGTATTGCAAACACAAACTTGTAAGTGAAGTTCTGTGCATAATCGTCGTCCTTTTAACTAAACATGTCTTATCTTTGTTAAATGCGTCACAGTGATGATGCAGCTCAACTGGACATTTTATCCATGTGGAGACAGACTCTGGATTCAATATGTTTTACAAATGAATTCAGGTTTCTTATTGTTATTAGAGGGAATTTAATGGAAATCTTTGATAAAATAATATGATTATCTAAGGATAACATTTCAGTATTTAGAGAATGAAAAAGCTCTGTGACCTCTTCCATAGGTGTTTCACTTGCACTGTTTAATCCCCCGCTGTAGGGTTGTAAATTGAGCAGCCCCATCTAGTCACACCTCGACTAATGTACAAATGTGACAATGTGACCTTCCATATTAAGGAAATTAGATATTCACTTGCATTCCGACTGTACTCCTTCAGTACATGTCCGATGGCCAACAGCAGTATTTAAACTGTCATTTGTGATATTCTCCATTAATTTTTGATTAACCTGCCAATGCCGTCTGCAGCTGCCCGCTACTTAGTGAGCCATCAGCAGACATGCCAGTTTAGCAATAAGCTCAACTTTATCTCAGCTCAGTCAATTATAACTTTTCCCCCAGAATGCTTAGAGCCTGATGACATGTCACTGAGAAAAGACTCCCACGCCCCTGCCACTCTGTAATACCCAGTGAATACTTTGATGTGTTATCCGTCCTGTATCTGACGACCTTCCATGTAACTCCTGCTGAACAGCGTTATGGTGAAAAGTTTTATTTTCTAGCATCTTGACAGAATGCAAGGAGGGAGGGAAATGGCAGCTTTCAAAGTTGTGCACATCTTTACTTCGAATGCTTGTGCTCATTAAATTTTTATGCTTTGCAGTATCGAAGGTAACCTACATCTGCAGTGTCACACATGCAGTTGTAGCAATGAAAAACAAACCGTTCATTGATGTACTTAATTTTATTTACTCGTCATTATGAAAGAACAACGTGTTTGTTGGGCAACTAAAAGCTGTCTGACTGACCATTCTAACCTTCAAAGTAAATACCAAAGAAGCTGTTGTAAATGTCATGAACTTTCAAAGACTCTGAGGTAAAGTACACCTCTGCCAGTAGTTAGAACTGTCTAACAGTGCACAGTATAATCTATTAACACGGAGTCCGTTTATTTTACTTTTCATTAAACAGAAAGAAATAACAAAGCAGTATTCAAATATGTGTTTTGCAGTCACCTCTTGCAGACTCCATTGCTGTAGAGGTCTTTTATAACGCCTGCCTTGAAAACCAATTGAAATTCTACTGAGGCGCCAACCCTGACGCTTCACACACTTTACAAGCTCGTGTCTGTAATCTCTGTATTGTGGGGACGACATCCAAAGAAAAACAGCTGTGAATGTGCTGTGTCCCAGAAAGCACAGTAACTATAGACTGTCTCAAAAAAATATATCAATAACATAAAAATGCTCAAGTGCAATGATAGAAAAAAAGTAAAAAAAAAAAATAAAAAAAATTGAATATTTATCAGCTTGTTTTATGCATTGTACCAAGTTTGCTGCTATTTGTTTTCTGATGTCACTTGAAATTTCCAGATGTAATGAGAGCAGATCGCAAGCTTGTTTCTAACTGGAATATAGCTTCACCGAGAAGACTTTTTTTCCATTTGGGGGACAGTGTTGAAGTATTTATATCGAGACATCTCCTTGTCCCCTCCTAATGAGCCAAAGCCATGGAGGATAATGAGGATGTTCCTTTTCTCCAATGGACAATGAGAGGAGCAGACTTCCCTTTAGATGATTTGAAACTTGGCAGCCAGAAACCCCTCCAGAGGAAATCTCATTAAATACTAAAATGGCATGCGAGCTAACCTCTACCTGCATCAATGCACCTTTTGAATATGTCATCCTGGTTTTTCCAGGAACATGCTCTATCACTGGAACATGTTCTATCACTGGGTATCGTACTTCAAGCTGTTTCTCCAAATTAAAAGATGTATAAAAAAAAAATGGATTCATTTCGTCTACAGGTGCATGTTGGTATGTCCTCATGCCGATGTCTCTGCAGTACCACTTGATGTAATGCACCTGACGAGCTCTGTGCCATACTAATGAAAAGTTTCCCATTAAAGGAGCCATGCATTCTTCGGGGGGGAAAAAAAGAACAATGCAGCCACACATGTATACACCTACTGTATGTGCACACACACACACACCACTAACACACACACACACCACTAACCAATGTGAAAACCTTTCCCCTCACCTCATTTCCTCTGGTCTGTTGAACATTTGCTGCTTGCCTTACCTTCAGAAAGGTCAAGTGCAGAACAGGTCTCCAGGCACACAGTCAACTAATTAAGCAGTGGTGGTGGAAGATGCATACCAGCTCCTGGGATACCACAGCGGTCAGTAGCCACCCTCAGGGGTAACGAACATATTGTTTCACATGCAAGCCAGGTAAGGATTTGCATTACATTGCTCTCGAGCAAAATATAAAATAAACATTGTGGCAGGAAAGAAAGTGTGGTAAGAAAGGTGTCTTTTAACTTACTCTTCCTGTTTACAGGCCCAGATCAAGCATCTAATACTAAATTTTGTATGTACAGATGTTTTGAATGGTTTGTCTTTTTGTCAGTTAGTATATCATTGAAGCAGATGTTACTTGATAAGAACTTTGATACCACTCACATGGACTATTTCTTGGGCCAGCCCATAAATCCTTGTAAAATGGACATTTACTGTCTTTACACTACGGTTTTTGAATATTCAAATGTGATGCAACGTGTTCATTAGTGAACTGTAAAGGAGCAATTTGTAAGTTTTGCCATTGCTATATAGCCAACATTAGCATTATTAGCTGTTTACTTACCTTACTTACAAGTTCATCACGCATCAAACTTCATTATTTTATCTGTCTCCAGCAGTGAAACTCTCTTGTTTGGTTTCTATCACCTCCTCTCTTGTACTGAGGATAGCATGCTAACCAGCTAGCCCTGATTCAATTGAACCGCCTCATCACTTTCCGATAGCGAGTCAGTATAGCATCTAGTCCGCCCTGAAGTAGAGCTGCTCAGAGGGCGTATTATAACCTCATGTTTTGCTGATGGCTGAAGCTCTTGGCAAGACTTGTAGGTAAACAGCTGTTAATGTTAATGTTGGTTACGTAGCAATAGCAAAATTTATAAATAGATCATTTAAAAGGGGCTGGTTTTGAACTACTCTTAAAATTAATACCTAATTTATTATTTATCAGATCTTGTTACTGATCAGTAATTCACTACATCAGTAAATTGACATATAGATTTTTGTTAAGATAACA